TTTGGTCTTCTAATTGTGTCAAAATGAGAAAAGACTGGAGGGAAATATATCAGTATATTAGCAGCTATCTCTGGAAGGTGGGACTTTAGATTTATTTTCTACTCCCCCCATTTTTCTATGAAAGCATATATTCCTTTTATAATCAACAGTTTTCAGTGGATAAAATAGTACATGTGGGCTGGGTATGGTGGCTCACGCCTATTATCCTAGCACTCTGGGAGGCCGAGGCGGGAGGATTGCTCAAGGTCAGGAGTTCGAAACCAGGCTGAGCAAGAATGAGACCCCATCTCTACTAAAAATAGAAAGAAATTAATTGGCCAACTAAAAATATATAGAAAAAATTAGCCGGGCATGGTGGCGCATGCCTGTAGTCCCAGCGACTCGGGAGGCTGAGGCAGGAGGATCACTTGAGCCCAGGAGTTGGAGGTTGCTGTGAGCTAGGCTGATACCACAGCACTCTAGCCTGGGTAATAGAATGAGACTCTGTCTCAAAAAAAAAAAAAAAATAGTAAATGCGACAAACATTTTCCACTGCAGACATTCTGCCTGGTGTGTTCGAATCTGATCACACAGCACTGCAGTACGCAAACTCTGTTCCCAGCATGCTCTGGGGCGGCAGAGATGGGAATTCGGAGACCGAAATGCTCACAGCCAAGTCTGCGCTGGTTGTGAGCTGCCCCCCCCACCCTGCCTGCTCACGGGGGACGTTCCGTCAGCCGTGGCCCAGGGGGTCAGCCCAAATCCTTCCACGGCTACCAAAACCGCCAGCCTCTGGCATGGTGGCACAGCCGCCTGTCACCGGGAGGTTTTAACTGCAGGACTTGTGGAGGAGCGAGCTGACGAAGCCTTGTCACCCAGAAGCATTGCTCGTGGAAGGAGCGATTTTATTGAAAGGAGCGCATCTGTGCACTTCCACTCTAAAGACAGCCCTGCACGGGCCAGCGAGCCAGTGCCGCAGGTTCCCACTTAGTTCGTCGTGCATGGTTCGAACGTTGTCCTTATTCTTCGGGTCATTATAGTTTGTGTGCGCCACTCACAGTAAGGCGGCGGTGTGCACGGGGGGTACATTTTTCTTTCACACCTGCTTTAATATCGGATTCTGCTGCAGAAGCCTGAGTGTGGAGCCTGGGAACGCCCGCTTCTGCTGCAGGGAACCTCGAGGTGCCGCTGTACAGACACAGCAGGAGTCACGGCAACTCGAGGACGTGAACCTGGGCTGCAGCAGCGGCAGGGTGGCCGCCAGAGCTGCAGTGTTCCCCGGGAGGCGCCCCCTCCTGAGAGGTGCCCTGGCCGGCGGCTCCCGCTGCTGTGCTCAGAGTCGAGGGGCTCTTGGTTCCTTCAAGTGAATGCACAGCCGTGCTCACTGTGGGTACAGTTTTAAACTTCATCACCCAGTAACTTAAGAAGTCCTTGAAAATCGAGTTATGACCAGTTTTTCAGTATTCCAAAATCACACAAGCATCTGAACTCTTTGCGAAGGTAGAATGGGGGTTCCACCTTTGAAAAGGTATGGGGAGGGGTTTTGTGGGTTGGACTTAGATCATCTTTGGACCTCGCTGGAACCCAGGGCTTCTGTAACACGATCCCGGTCTGTGAGTTCAGTGGCCTTGTGGTGAATCAGTTCAACAGAACGGCAAAGGGTCCAGGGAGGAAAACCTCCTTCTGATTAGAAGCGGACTTGCACCTGGCGGTTATGTTCAGGCCATGGGTGTGATTGGCGTTTCCTTTGTGTCTCAGCACTGGGAAGAGTTAGAAGGAGCAAGTCTTTCTTTGTAGAGTCCTTCTGTGGCGACCAAGAGCCCGTTTGCCATTGCAAGACCAAAGCAGGTGCCCGTCACCTGCCAAGGCTCTGGCGCAGCAGTGCCAGGGAGCACGGCAGAGCCCGGTTACAGGACTCTGGCCCTAAAGAGAAGGCTTTGCGTGAAGTGGAGATCATCTTCTACTCAGCACCGAGAGATAGAACCAGGCATTAAAGAGGATTAGGAGCCTTTAAGTTTTCAAGAAGGTACTTGACTGTTCTTAGGTGTTTGTGATTCTTTAAGTATCACTCTCATTTCCTGGTTCTTAACCTGGGGCCTGTGCACTTGTAGTCCGGAGGGCTGTGAAAAGTCTTCAGCAACCCTGGGAATTGTGCACACTATTGTGGGTGAGTCATTTTTGGAGGGAACCCCAGCTCTTCACAAAGGTCCCTGTCACCCTGCCAAGGATAAGAACCGTTGCCCTAAGTTACGTGCTATTCTGAACGTAATGAGAACATGGGAACCAGTTGAACTGTTTAGTTTTGTAGAAAAACGTGTAACTGTTGTGTGTTGCTCTGTATTCAGACGTGTCTTCTTCTCGGGGCAGGAGGCCTTACCCAAGAGTCCCAGCTTCGCTTTTCTACTCCCTGGGCCTCTAGGAAGACAGAGGCCCCGTCCTGCAGCCCTGCAGCTGCCGTGACCTGTGGGGAGATGATCTAGACGGCTCACTGAAGTTGGGGCGGGGGCTCAGAGCTACAGGGGGTTGGCGACATCTTCGTTTAAGACAGTAGGAGCCCCAGCTCCCCAAGAGCCAAGTGGGACCGTTCGGCATCCCTATTTGTGCAACGTGGTGGATAGTCAAGAGGTTTGTGTGACTGTGGGTGTCAGATGTCCCTGGCATGACTTTGTCCCTTCGGACATGCTGAGAATAGCTGGAACTGCTTTGCTTTTCAGATCAGCTGCGAGATGATGGAGAAAATCCCAGTACTGAGGCGGCTCCGGGAGCGAGAGAGGCAGGCTGGGAAGGATGTCGCCCTCCAGGATGAGCCCCGGCACCCCAGCGGCCACCAGAAAGCTCCTCCAGGCACTGTCACAAGTCCCCAGGACGTGCCGGGGCTAGAAGATTCCGTGGGAGCAGCCCGTGGCTCCCCGCAGGGGGAAGGCGCCCCACTTGCGGCCGATGTCTACGTGGGGAACCTGCCCCGGGACGCCCGCGTGAGTGACCTGAAGAGGGCGCTCCGAGAGCTCGGCGTGGCGCCCCTGCGGCTCACCTGGCAGGGGCCGCGGCGCAGGGCCTTCCTCCATTACCAGGACCCCGCCTCGGCTCAGCAGGCCCTCTCCTGCTTGCAGGGCCTGCGCCTGGGCCCCGACAGCTTGAGGGTGGCACTGGCCAGGCAGCAGAGGGACAAGTGACCTGGGGGATGGCTGGGGGTGCAGAGCCTCGCTGCACAGACATGCCCTCACCGTCGCCCCCGTGTGGTGTGGGGCAGCCCGGGGTTCTGGCTCCTGTGGAACGGGAGGCCTGCGCAGCAGGGCGCAGCAGGACAGCTGCTGTGGGGCTGCTCGGTCTCAGGACTTCCAGGAGGTCCCAGCACAGTCACCTGCGCGCAGGGGCAGCTGGCCTCCGTCCACGCTGTGATGCTCAGGAGGCCGCACAGCCCGACTGAGTCAGGTTCTGGTTTGTCCGTGAGTTTGTCTGTCCGTCTGTCTGTGTCTCTGGAGGGACAGAGCAGTCCGGAGGGCTCGAGGAGCAAGCGGCGGTGGATGGGTGACGGGAATTTCGGATCTGAGAGGAAGGGGTTAAGAGGAGAAGATGGGTGAGGGATCCTGCCCG